TTTTACTATTGAAGTTACTGATCCAGATGTGAGGACATGAAACAAACCAAACCAACACATAAGATATGGTTGACATAAAAAGAGATGGATATTGTTAGCTGATATTGCCCTATCGTGGATATAATGATATCACATTGGTATTTATGTTTCTGATATGAAAACTGTTTTTTCCCTGTACAGGCAGCACAGAAATGCTTTTGGTCATCTATCACTGCCACCACAAATTTTATCCAGCAGAGTGAGCTGAGACTAATGATGCTCAGAGTCAGAGAGAAGAAGCAGCTCTGAACAGTGTCATCTCCAGGAGATACAGTCAAGAAATGTTAAGAGATGCCTCACTAATGGTTATAACTATAAACCAGCACACAAACTACAGTTACCAACATAAACCAATGTGTTCTGAACATACACATGACAAATACAAACCCTAACAAAAATTAACATTTGCATTCTGAAACATACTATTATAATATTACCCAAGGTCAATTCAGCTCTAGGTAGGGCATGATGGGAAATATTACCTACTAATGTATTGAAACGTGTAGAACTAACCTTCTATCAAACGCTGAACTTAACTGCACTCCATCTGGGCCTCGGTCAATGACGCTAACAAAGATCTGGTCCCGCTCAATCACATGGCTGTTCTCCAGACTCACTGGGAATTCTCTACACCAACAGCAGGACAAAAACACACTGGGATCAAGATCAAGGTTGACCTGCTGTTAATATAACAACATGAATAATGTCTGCAATGGGTCCTTGGAGGTGTGTGTATGAACATCTCCAAAGCGCCTACTATTTTGTTCAATTATTTGGTGAAAAACCGGTGTCTCATGCATGAACAACAAACTACAGTGTGTGTATGTTAACTCTGTAGCAGCCTCCTGCCATTTGTACGTGATTAATTGAATAAAACAGCCTTCGATACGGATACTGTCAATCACTCATTTATTTACTGATTTAGTGACATTCCTGTATGTAGTTATTTTAGTGCCAGAACAAACTGAATCTGAATTTAATTATTTTAACTAAATATTATGGTTTGAAATTAAATTTAAATCATATTGCTTTCAATTTTTGAGCAGGCTATTATTTCAGTTTGCAATTACTGTGTCTCAAAATTCAGCTTTTAAATTTTGTTTTAACTGAGAGGCACTCATCCGGGGGACTCTAGACTAGAACAGAGGAGCTCTGATTCATCCTTTCACAGGACTTCTTTAGACCAAGAGGCTTAATGGATATGTAGGCCATGAGGGCAGCTGTGTAGTCTCTCCCATTCAAGGCTGACAAAAGAACTGCTGCATCTCATGACAGGTATTAGCACTTTGTATTGACGTATTTAGCTTTTTTTTTTTGCGTGCAGATGCTGAAAGCAAACCTTACTTAGCTCTGGGGACATGTAAACCGAGATCCACTGTAGTGTGTGACAGTAGCATGGGTGCCAAAAGGAAGCGGGCAGCACTTTCCAGCACGTCCACCTCTTAGCTAGTCTAGTTACATAGTAGTTACTGTTCAGCCACCGGTCAGTGGTCAAGAAATAGAATTGTGCACCTCTGTAGGTATATTGAGCTATGAGGAGTGACAGGTAACTTACATCCTCATCTCAGAGGTGAATGAGGAGAGGGGAGAGAGAGTACCACTGGTCAAAATGATGCAGCGAACACCTTGATTCACCAGATCCTGCATGCTGAAGCCAGGAGAGAAGCACCAGTAACTCAGGATGTTGCCTACAAGGTGGAAAGAAACACATACTCTTAACCGCCCTTTTAACCGGGTTTACTCAGAATTTGGACAGGTCAGCAAGAGAAACTAATGACTAACGAAAACTTTCAACAGGGTTCCATATCTGGTTCTGATATCCACAAAGAAATGGTGTTGGTATTATTAGAGTGTTCGGGGTAGATTTTGCAGTTGTTTGCTGTTGAAGCATGAAGCTGGTCATCCTCACTGCTTCTGACAGGATGAAACTGCATCATTTGAACAAACTGTTCTGAACTGACACGCTACACTAACTAACTAGGTTAGATACCTATTCAGTATCTAACCTCTGTAACTCAGTGTGTGAATACAGGGCTTAATGATTCAACTGCTGTAATGGTACACTGTAATCACTACCTTGTTTCTTTGAGGAAGATGAAGCCCACACATCAGTGCTTTGTTTTTTCTTGTGATAGCTGGTGTCTCGATGGATATGGACCTGAGCAAAACAGATGGATATGATAGCCGGTGTCAGTGTATACATAACTAATAAGTGTGCGGAGATGCACAATCGTTTAAATATGGCCATTCATGGCATTTCTTGAACACATACCTTAAAATGAGCTGTATTGGACTGCATTTGCTGTTGTCTTTCTTTTTCTGATGGTTCACCACAGAACACCAGCTACAAGGAAAGGAAAGAAAAGAGAGTTTATTGTTGCTACTGTAAAATGAAACTGCAATGGCTCAATAGTGTGCTTTACCATTTTGGTAAAATGTCAGATGGTCAGATGTAGTCCCTCCAGGAATCTGGGGGAATTTTTTAGAAATGTTGCAGACTAAAATGTCTGATTTCACGTCAGCTTTTCTAAGAAATTGTGATACGTGTTGCAATGTTTTTAGGCATTTTTTTGCAATGAAATTGTGGGGTGAATCAGTCAGGGTGAAGACATTTGAACTTTGGAAAGAGCCAGGTTAGCAGTTTCCTCCTGCTTCCTCTCTTTATGCTATGCTAAGCTAAGCAGGTCCTGACTCCAGCTCTATACTTAATACATGTCTGTGTGTTAAGTATAGAGCTTGAGTCGATTTAAGATCCTTTTGATCTCACTTTGAGAGACAAAGTGAATAACTATTCCAAAAATCTTGGACTACTATGTAACTTCACATAGCATACCTGTATGATATCAGCCAGCTTCTGTAGTCCACTTGTGTTCAGGAATATTCCTGGCTCTGATGAGAAATGTGTCACACAATAATTAGACAAATGACAACAGGTGATTTACATAGAGTTCCCACTAATACAGTTGTGCTCATAAGTTTACATACCCTGGCAGAATTTGAGATTTTTTGGTCATTTTTCAGAATTTTTCAATTACTCTTTTTAAATCATAATGACAACAGAAACTACCCAAATGACCCTGATCAAAAGTTTACATACCCTGGAGATTTTGGCCTGATAACATGCACACAAGTTGACACAAATGGGTTTGAATGGTGTACCTGGTCATTGTAAAACCATACAAATCTGTTGAAGAGGTCATTATATGCAATCTGCGTGAGAAAAAAAATGAATACCACTGGATAGGCTAGAGAGTATACTTGCAGTCCAAATTAAAACACAAAATATAGCGATTCCTTAGGCATAGAAGACAGTGATATGATGTCCACATGTGAATAGGAAGAGTCTGAATATATCACTAGCTGCGCTGGAGCCCATATTACTTCAGACCATTATTAATAATAAGAAAAAGTGTAATCTCGGGTGAGAACCTTGTGCAAACACCAAAACCTTTGTGCAGAACACATAGATTTGTTGTGGATATGGACTAGCACAAATAGGTACTGTAAGTTGATGCCCATTGATGATCCCATCTTCAAGTTCTTGGAAAAGGTCAGCACGCTACAATGAATTAGCGGGAGAACAGTGATGTGTACAAGATGAATTACTCACAGAAATCAGAAATCGTGATCATATCTGATTCGCACAGGATTAGCTGAAAAGAGATGGTGTTTGTCACGACTATCTAAACATGGAAATATAGGAATCGTCACTTGGTTGCAAAGTGGTGAAGCGCGAGTACCGAGATATTCGAGGTCGCCACCAGAGCAAGAAACATAAATCACATAACTACGCAATCTCAACAACACATTCATCGCTCACAATCAAAAAATAGAGTACTTTTTAAATATACGAGAAAAGATGAGACAAGTCAAGACTCTAGAGAAGACAAATATGGCATGCTAGGAGAATGAGGAACGTCAGACAAAATTAATGTGAGAAATACTATTATATTTATGGCACAAAATCACTGTTGAAGAGGGTTAAAGGGAGTCAGGTGTCACTGGGGGATCCAGGCCTTGTTTAATGAGGCTAGCTTGCAGATGGAAATAAACTGGTTTTTTTTTGGCGTGAGGTTTTGGTCCTGATGGACTGCAGCCCCCTGCCAGAGGGGAAAGAGTTTACAAAAGAGTTTGTGTCCGGGGTGGGAAGGGGTCAGCCACAATCTCCTGCACGCCTCCAGGGTCCTGAGGGTTGTTACTGGCTGCACCCAAGGTCCCAGATGGTCCCAATCTCCCATCCTGTAATGCGGACTCATCTTCCGACCAGAAGAATGAGCCCAAATGAGGGAGGTGTCATCCGTGAACTTCAGGAGCCCTGAATGACCTGGTGACTAGAGGTGCTGCTGTTGTGTACAGGGAGAAGAGCAGAGGAGAAAGAAGCCAGCCCTGGGGGGATCCGGTTGATGTCCTGGGAGTCAGGAGACATTTTTCCCCAGCTTCATGTGCTGTTTCCTGTCAAGACAGAAGTCTGCGATCCACCTGCCAGGTGGAAGTCAGGCAGCAGTGAGCCAGGCAACAGGTCTGTAGTCATTGAAGTTCCTGTGGTCCTTGCTTTTTTGGGGACATGGGGATGAATGGGTGGATGTTTTGGAAAGCAGGCTGGCACATGACACGCTCAACAGGAGGTGTTGAATGTCAGTGAACACCGAGACCAGCTGGTCCCCAGCACAGTGGCCTTCAGGGGGGAAAATGAAGACACGAGTCGGTCCGGCCGCTTTGCAAAGGTTCTGCCTCTTAAAGAGCCTGTTGACGTCCCTCTGCTGAAGGCAGAGAGGTCGTCAGTGTGGTGAGGAAGGAGGGATTCACAGAGGTGTGGAGTTGTGAAGTGGCCCCGGCTTGAGGCTGGGGAGGGGGGAACTGGTGAGGGGTGGTCACCCGGGGGATGTGTCAGGACTGCTCCCTTTGTCTGTCGACAGCGACCAGTAGAACATTTGGCCAGGCGCCAAGTCATTGATGAGTGGGGGGTTTTAGTTTTTGTAGTTGGTTAATCTGTCTGAGCCCCTCCAGGACAGAACCAGTCGTTGGTCTGAGAACTGGTGTTGAAGTTTCTTCCAGAGTAACTGCTGTTTAGCTTCTCTCACCGCCTTGCTACCAACTTTGGACTCCTTAAACTTGTCCCTGTCCCCCAACTCCCACTTTTATGATATATAAAACATGACCTGGCATGAATTGTTTGCTAGAAATATTAATTTTATGTTTGCCATGATCCTTTCAAATCTTTCAAATTAAACCAAACAAAAAAATCCACAAAATGCTATTTGTAAAGGGGTGCCCAACCTTTTTGCATACAACTGTAGTCTGATATTTAAGAAACAATGCATTTACAAATTACATCTCACAAAACTCCCGTTTACTGTTGCCTAAGAACCAAATACACTCGTCGTTGATAAGCAGTTGACCATCTTCTTTTAATGCTGGTTTTAGGTTGCTAAAAGCAAAGGTTTTGGAAACCAATACGGGGGTTGCAGCCAAGAGGAAATAGAATGGTTTAACTTTTTAAATTTTTTTTGGGAAGTTGGACCAAGAGACAAATAAGGCTGCTGTTTAATATTGATCATAATAAATAGCTGACCCCACTGATAATTGCTGAACTATGAAGACTTTTATCATCTTCGCAGAACTTATATAAACACTTAATCAGATACACTGTCAAGTCGTGGGGCAGGAGGATACCATACAAAACTTGTATCAACATAATTGGAGGACGTCGTGGGTGCTATAGGGGTTGCATCATATGTACATAACAAGAAGGGAGGATTTGACATATGATGACATTCTCGTCCTATATAGGTTTATGCATCATATTTTCTCACATTAGCTCTTACATGAGGTACTAGGTACGATTTTATATATAGAGAGAGGAGCGCCGAATAGAGTCTGAGCCGAAATAATACAGGCGAGAACATCTAGATGCATTGAATACATCAACGTAAACAGCACTTACTTGTTAACATAGGCATATACAAAATCCATACGAAGTCTAAACCTCAGAGTGACTTGTTGCTAAGAGTATAAGTATTATTTAAAAAAAAAGACAAATATAGAATAATAATAAAGAAAAAAAGGAGCCGCAGGGAGTTTTGTTTCTTCAATATATTACTGTTACACAGTAGACAATCTGATACATACGGAGCGAGCTACAGAGCTTTTCAAACAGTGTGTCATATTTACATGAATTCGTTACTACAGTGTGATCATAGATTCTAATTTCTATTGGCCAACACAACGTCACGCTGCCTTTGAGCATTGTGTGCACAAAGTATTCTTACGGTGATCATACTTATAATCACTGCCGCGTCTACGAGAGCATCATCTATGAGTACTGGGAATTGACTTTGTGGATTAAAAATGTAGGGAGGGATATGAGCGATGTTTCTGTTTCTGGATAATCTATGACTTGTCTTTACACGTGACGATATCAGAGAACGCCTCCAGTTTTTTTGGTCTGTTGTGAACACGTCGAGATGTTGTATCTTTTCTATTTCTTCATTCAAGCTGCAAGAAATGAAGGATTACAATACATGTCAGATAATCGTTATGAACTTATTGAGGTATGACGTGTCAGAACATAGGACATAACATGATGTAAATGCTGTACATCAAACCTTGTCACACTCGGGCCGCGAGTAGATTAGCTGGATGTTCACTTGGGATGTGTGCTGCACAGACTTGGTCAAATTGAGGCAAAAGAATGATGCAGCATGTTGTCGAAAACCGGAGAAATTCGTTCAGCCGGAAGCTGCGCATCCGCTGCCCATTGCTTTCCAACTACAACCACATGAATCCAAACGCGAATAAAGTGAAGGTCTGGATGCCCATCAATCCAGTCCCTGACCCTCAATATCATTTAGCCACTCCTGGAGAATCTCCAACGTGCAGTATTCCATGAAGACAGCCCAAAAGAATGTACAGGAACGGTAGGCTTTTTGCCAAGAAAATGGGCAGCTTTACCATCTGCAAACAACGCCATCACAACTCACACGCACAGACCTTCAAGCTGTCATTGATGTTAAATAGGGGAATGTAAACTTTGATCAGGGTC